CACACACACACACACACACACACACACACACACACACACACACACACACACAAGCAGAGTGACGTGTCCCTCCCCCGGCTCCTGGCATCCATTAGGACTATTCATCTCACAAACCACATCAACCCTTCACTCCCCCATCAAACAGGGTCACTCTTACAGCGCTGCTGTTGCGGTGGCTCTTTCCAGGAGCTACGGCCAGAGTCGGGAGACAGACAGATTTTGATAATTTTGTGAAGCCACAAAGGTACCTGCTAGAAAAACTTTACTAAGGTCACATCGCTTACTCTGTCCCGTTCTTGAGGCCGAAATCAGACAGGTCCTTGTTTTCAGCCGTGTACTTGGCGTAGCAGTCGCTGAAGAGGGACTGGAAGGCCACGTAGACCCTGCAGGTGTCGTTGCGGACTCTCAGCTGCCGCACCCTGGGGACGCCGAGGAGGATGTTCTCGTAGTAGATGCGGCTGCTGTTCTTCCAGTCGTACGGCCTCTGGCTGTTGTACCACGAGTCCCAGTACAAGCCTTCCAGAAGGGGTCCTTCCATGAACTTCACAGAGAGAGGCAAGTGTCGGGGGGGGGGGGGGGGAACCATACCTTCGTGGCATCAGAAACTGTATTTGTATGCACGGTTCCGAGTGTAAGCATTGACCAAGAGGCCACAAACTCTGCTGGCAAGGGCCTCGCTTTGTCCCTGTTCCGCTCTAAGTGACCCCAAGAACAGGACTACGCTCCCCCCGTTTCTCACTGTCTTTGCCACAGGCCACAGAGCGCAATTAAAAGGGAAAGGATGATTCCATTCCCCCTTTCCTACTTGGCCACTGACTTAGGACCACTTGGACCTTGCCTTGGGTTTGTCCTCTTCCTTATGAAATTTTGCTTGTCGCTGTGACAGAGTGCCAGCCTAATCGCCTTAAGGGAGGGAAGATTTCAGTCTGCCTTAGTAGGAAGGGTGGTGTGGCAGGCCAGGACAGCTCAGGACAGCGGTGGCCGTGGAGCCGAGGGGGTGCCTGAGCTTGCTCTCTCCTCCCCCCCCCCCCCTCGTATTCCATCCCACCCAGCGCCTGTGGGTGGTGCTGCCGCTTTCAGGGAGGCCTTCGAGGGGGTGGGGGGGTCAGCCCTCTCAGCAAAACACTGTCTCGGGCACAGCTGAGGGTCTGCCCTGCCAATCTAACGGCTTCTCTGTGTACCTAAGTTAACCGCCGTGTCCGCCCACGCTCGGAAGACAATAGTGTGGCATTCATGATGTGACCTCTGTCTGCTCATTTCCTACTTCATCTTCTCTGTGCTCACACTCCAAGTTCAGTTCCACATGAACTGCACATGGCATATATTGTTCCCTGTTCTTAGAACACCCTTTCTTTTTTTCTTTCTCTCTCACTCTCTCTCTCTTTCTTTCTGTTGTTTTCGGTTTGTTTCCAGACAGGGTTTCTCTGTCTAGCCCTGGCTGTCATGGAACATACTGTATAGACCAGGCTAACCTCAGTCTGGTCTCAGAGATCCACCCACCCTGCCTTTCTAGTTCTGGGATTAAAGGCGTGCACCACCACGGCCTGGCGGATACCTTTTCTTTCAAATGTGCCCTCACTGCCCTCCCTTTTGGAGAGCCTTCCCTCGCTGGCTGCCTCGTCCTTTCCGTCTAAGTGTTTGTGAATGCGAGACCAGCAGCAGCTGCTCCTCGGTGCCCTCCTCATGACTTGTGCTATGACTGTCTATTCCAGTGCTGAAGGAACTGCTCTCTCACGGGATTAAGTTACATCACATACTGCTTTCTTACTACACCCTGCGTATTACTGTAACACAGTAGAGGGTTGCACATATAAATTGTGAATATTATCCGTTTTGGGAAATGAAGAATTTGTAAGACCATCACTCTTCTGGATCTTATATACTCAACCACAGGGGCTGACTTTGGTCCTCACATAGCAAATCTTGTGTTTTCTAAGGATAATGGGAATATTTGAAAAAGCATCAAAATTTTTAATTAAAAAATCAGGGTCACATTGTGAACATAAAGATTCATAATAAACACTATTGGTTGATTTTCTAATAAAGAAATAATACTCATTTTTTAAAATTAATTCCTTCAACAAATTTTCCCTGAGCATTTTCTATGTGTGGCAAGGCTTATGGACCGTCTGTGAATTTGTTTGTTTCTTTCTTTTTTTTTTCTCCCAGAACTGGGGGTCAAACCCAGGGCCTTTCACTTACTAGGCAACAGTATACCATTGAGCTAGGCCCCAGCCACTGTTTTCACGGGCTATCTAACGCTACTTCATCAAGGTCCCACACCTTACCTTCCAAAAATCGGTTATGCTTCGGATGGACCTAAAGCTGCTCCTTTCATCGCTGGGCAGGGAAGTGTCCACAAACAGGGACGACATGACTTTGTTTAAGTAGTACATGTGTGGGTTGACCATCCCAAAAGTCACTACGGAAAACAATTTCTGGTTTAAAATTCGTAACTTAAAGTCCCACTTTCAGCAGTGTTCCAAAAATACTAATTTCCCCAGCTTTAAAAAAAATTCAACATTGCCTAAGTATTTTTTTTTTTGACACTTATCTACCTTGTGTGTGTGCTTACACGAGTGCGCGCTTCTGCTGCGCACACACGCCCATGTGCCATGTGCCATGGTGCGAATGTGGAGGTCAAAGGACAATTTTTGGGAACCGGTTCTCTCCTCTCATCACGTAAGCGCCAGGGCTCAAACTCAGGCCTGGCGGTAAGTGCCTTTATCCGCCGAGCCCTGGTATATGTCTAATTATTAAAAGTCAGGAATACATGAAGTAGGCAGCCGTATCCTCCGGCCCTCGCACTAAAGGTAGACATGGATTCTTCATGTTTTACGCCTAAAGAGTTAGTATATTCTCTTTAAAAAATGAAGTCAAATTAGGGCTGGTGAGACGGCTCAACATTTAACTTGCAGGTAGAAGAAGAGGGCAACCCTATAGCTGTTCCCTCCATCACACACAAGTACACAAATAACATTTTTAAAATGAGGTCACGCTGTATCCATCACTCCACTGTTGGCCTTCTCTCTCCATTAAGAACAGGCAGTGCCAGATAGTGAGAGGTTAAGACTGTGGGCCTTGAATTCAGCCAGGGAAGGCTTATAGATCTCATCATAAGGATGCTATCTCTTACCACATAGTTATGTCATATCTGTGGAACGTCTTGGAGCGTGCGTGCGTGTGTGCGTGTGCGTGTGCGTGTGTGTGTGCAGGAGGCATTCCTCTCCACCCACCTTGGTTTCATTTTTGAAGCAGGGCCTTTCTTTACCCTGGAGCTTTCAAAGAAGGCTGGCTGCACGGCAAGCCCCAGGGGCCTGCCTGTTCCTACCTCTCCCGCCCTGAGATTCCAGGCTATCACTACACCTGGCTTCTCCACGTGGACTCTGAGAGCCAAACTCGGGTCGTCTGTGTGGCAAGCGTTTCACAGGCTGAGCCATCTTTCTAGCCAGACACGTACAGCCTTTAAACCTATACTTTGGGACGTAGTAAATTTGTTTTTAAAAATCAATCATTACTATTTCGTTCTCTGCTTTTATGAGTGTTTTTTAAAAATGGTTGCCAGAACTCCCCAGTTTAGATAAACAAGCAAGCGGACCAACAAGTGGGACCAGCAAAATGGCTCAGAGGGAAAAGACTCACGTCACCAGCACTGACAGTCTGAGATGCCTGTTGAATGTGGGACCCTGTCCGCAAGCGTGGTCCTCTGACCGCCATCATGCACGCTCATAGCACATAAGTGAGTGTAGGCCATTCTTTAACCTTTCGTTTATTTCACTGCAGATTTATTTTTAGTTCGTGTGCATATTGGTATTTTTGCCTGCACATGTGCCTGTGTGAGGGGGTTAGAAGGCCTGGAACTGGAGTTATAGACAGGTGTGAGCTACCATGTGGGTCCTGGGTCCCCTGACGTGTAGCCAGGGCTCTTAACCGCCGAGCCATCTCTCCAGCCTTACCACTGCATATTTCACAGTGGTTAAATGAATCCCCTACTGCTGATTTAGGTAGGTTATTATTATTATTATTATTACTATTATTATTATTATTATTATAAGGGTTCAGGGTGGGATTATAAATAATCTTTTGGCTCACGTTTTCTACTCTGTAAATGCCTGGTAATGAGCACGTGTCAGTGTTAGCTCTATAATCAAGCTTTTCCTGAACCAGCCTAAGACACCTTATCAAGCTGGCTACAGCTGTCCTTTATCTCAGACACCTCCCCGACAATACCGATGAACCCTAACTGGGATAGTGCTGCACTTCGGAGACGAGGGAAATCCCGCATGTGAGTGTCAAGCTACACACGTTGGGCAGTTAACATACAAAACGCTGATAAACTTTTTATATACTAAGTCGATGCCGTGGGCCACAGGGAGGGGGTGAGGAGCACAGGCTGAGCGGTGATGCCTGCCCTCCTTAAAAATTTGTATTTACTCAGCACGGATGTACTTTATCATAAAGTGTGCAGTTTAGTGAAGAAGGTGGAACTTGTGGCCATCCCAGACCGTAGGTCGGGTCCCATTTGTCCTTCTTATTTACAGAATCAAGCCAATGTGTCTCTCTGGCTCTGAAAGAAATTCAACTGTTTCAACCCCGGGGATTCTGTTGTAAATAGATTCTCCAAATTAAAAGCTCTAACAATCATATCCAGTTAGTGTCGACTCTGGAAGCTCTCCATCACATCTGTGGCCGAGTTTTGACCCTTAAAAGCTGGAAATTGTGTCGTGCATAGGAGAATGATTTCTGAAACTTGTCAGGTTTTTTTTTTTGTCATTTTTCGCCCCCACATTTTAACTACTACAGCATGTCTACCTACACCTGTGTACTTACATATACATAGATTTATTAAAAAAATAAAGTAGAGTAGGAGCTCTTCAACTGTGGTGTTCACCTCCGCTTCTCTTCTGTAATGCAGGTCATGCTTTGAAGTCCCTGTGAGATGTAAAACAGTTTCTTCATATGACCGGGTACTTCTAATGTATGTAAAGTAACACAGATGGGGAAAACACGACTATTTTTAGTAGCTTCTGGTTCCTTTTTACTTCTCACTCGGAGCCAGGGCTAACCGCTAAATTTTGCTGTGGAGAGAGCAGTCATCGTCTACGGGGGTATGCTGACAGATCTTATACAAGTGTCCCCCCACGCCCCACGGTCCTGTTCGGGCGAACAGAGGGACTGCAGCTGCCCCTCAGCCACCAACACCCCCGAGGTGACAGCCTGTCCTCGGGACTTCACTGTTGCCCTCGGCTCTGGCCGCTCTTACAGGAGCGGGGATGTGGGATTCAGGGCTCCCTCCGGGGTACCTGGAGTTGCCCACTCGCTCGGTGGCCCCACCCTCACCTCCTCGGCACCACCAAGCCGCCTCCGCCATCGCGGACGCGACCGCAAGGTCGGTTCCGCTCTGCGCGTTCCGGCCTCCGCCCGCCCCGCGCCTGCGCAGCAGAGCAGCAGCGCGCAGGCCCGGCCTCCCCGCCCGCCCTACGCGCGCAGAGTCTCCGGCAGAAGGCTAGCGCGCCTTGGCGACAGGGTGCTGCCGCGGTTGTCGCTTCGCACCCCGCCCCCTCTGGGGGTTGCATTGTGGCTGGAGATTGATTCATAGCTCACTTTTCTGGATGCGAAAAAAAAGTCTCACCACCGACAGCATTAACATGAGTGGCCAAGAAGGTGGTCAGCCCCCTTCCCTTTTGCCTTATTGTTGATTTAATAGACTTTAACTAAGTTAACAGTACCACAAAACCAAACGCTGATGGCCCCGTTCTGTCATAAAAGCCTTTAGGAGAATCTAGATTTAGAGATCTGGGGACCAGGCCTCAAGAACCAAACCCACTGAGCTCCCGCTGCAAATCCTTATCGTTCGTATAGTTCTCTTAACTACAGCCACGGGTGGATCAGATGCTTGCCCATAGCCAGATGCCCAGATGTGGTTTTGTTTGTGCACGATATGATCTGGCAGGTTATAAACTAAAATTTTAACAGCATGCAAGGAGATGGGGAGTGATCAGGAGGGGGGGGGGTATGCAAAACTTTTAAAGTGTTATTCTGTGTGTGTCCACACTATTTGTTATAAAAATGGAGATGTGTAAAGTATACATCTGTAATAAAATGTACACCATGTCTCTGGAGGAACATTACTGATAGAATTAATCTACATATAAAAAGGGTATTTTGTGTTTGTTTGTTTGGTTTTGAGTGACTTAGAGGCTGTGGTCCAGCTACACCAACAATGGCTGTCTCTCAACGGAGAGTCCAAGAATCAGCACTTGTTTAGGCTGGGTGTCTCATTTGCTCTTCAGTAGATGTTGGAATCCCAAAGCTGTCCACTCTAATGCCAGTGGTTCGAGAGCAAGGGCAAGCGGGCAAACGGCAATTTTCCCCATGCGGCCGTGAGAAGGCGTGACCCAAATTTAAGGTGGGACCTTGGACCTCAAGTGATCCACTTAACTAAAAGCCTCTCACAGGCTTTTCGACTTGGGTTTCTAGTTATTTCCAGACTGTTGTGAAGCTGACAACTAAGAATAACCACTACACATCATAAACACCCTCTCTAGCAACTATATTTACGTAAGCTCTTTGTGCTGTGTGAGGGGCATGCTGGAGACTGTGGAAATTAAAGGGGCAGGAGAGGGGAAGAAGCTTGTGAGGCTGGAGTCTTGTGCACCCTTCTTGCTGACCGAATGACTGAGCTTCATCAGAGTTAAAAAAAAAAAAAGCCAACGTCGCCTGCAGAGATCATGTGTGTTTTCCGAAAGGCATCTCAAGTAACGATATCAAAAACAGTGGATGGGCCAGGTGTGGTCATTGACTTCTGTGACATTAGTGCTTGGAAAGGGGAGGCAGGAGGCTTCAGTAGATCACAGTTCTTAGCTGTGTAGCACATTCAACAGCAGCCAGAGCTATGTGAAACCTTGTCATTAAAAAAAAGGTTAATCTCAATTGTTAACCTCAGACATCTGGGAAGCAAGATCCTCATTTGAGGAGCTAACCTGTGGGCATGCTTGTGGGGTCACTTTTACGATCGCTAATTGATGGAGAACAGCCTACCCCACTGTGGACAGGACTGCTCCTGGGCAGGTGGCCCCAGGTTGTGAAAGGAAGCAAGCTGGAATGGAATAGAAGCAGGGAACAAGGCATCCAGCAACATTTCTCCGTGATCTGTGCTTCCGTGTCTGACACCAAGTCCTTGCCTTGACTTCCCTTGATGATAGATTGTGACCTGGGAGTTGTAAGCTGAAATAAACCCCTTTCTTTCCAGTTTGTTTTTGGTCACTGTCTTATCACAATAACAGAAACTAAATTATGACATCCGGCTCTTGCTGAACAAGGGTCAGGACCTGAGTTTGATCCTCAGAACCCCAAGCAAAAAGCTCTGGGGAGGTGGCACATGCTCATTGGCCTAGTGCTGAGGAAGCAGGTCCCTGGGGTTCATGGCCAGCCAGCCTAGCCTGCTAAGTGAGCTCCGGGCCAATGGGAGGCCCTGTCTTAAGATAGATGGTTCCTGAGGAGCTGCACCTGAAATAGCCTTCTGGCCTCTACATGCACTGGCACACACATTTCATGTTCTCTCTCTCACACACACACATGTGCACCCACTCATATACATGTATACACAAAAACAACCTAGCAAATGAATTCTGCTTCCCTAAGGCCCGATGTTTGTGGCCTCCAGTTTTGCCATATTAGCACTCCTTCCTAAATCTGTCTCTTAGAGCGGTCAAACATACTGCTGAATCTGTCTCTAAGATTATCTAGAAACCATAGATAAACCAACTCAAAAGAAGGCGGTGGTGGGTGGCAGGAGGACTGAGAATGTTGAGCAGATCTGGGTGTTGCAGCACAAGCCTTTGGATCTTGGCACTTGGGAAACTGAGGCAGGAGGATTGTGAATTTGAGGCCACAGTGAGCTACACCGTGAGACCGTGCTGAAGAAGAAGAGGAAGAGGAGGGCAGACAGGAGAAGGTGGAAGAAGAACAGGAGGGAGAGAGATGTTCTAGAACTTTGGAACTCAGCAGCTGAAGCAGCAAGGGAGCACTCAAGGGCAGCCACTGAGGTATTATCGACCGATGCAAATCTCAACCATGCGGCAAATGCTCTCTGGAGAGGTTTCCCTCTTCCACGGGAGCTCTTTATAAAGCCCACAATTCCTGGCCTCTCCCACAGCTAACCCTATTTGGCCAGGGTGATGGCTGCATAAGACAGCCTAGAACCTCTGGAGAGTCTGTGACAAACTGTGGCAAACTGTGACAAACTTGCTCTCTGCATCCCGTAGCCAGCCATTGGTCGTCTGGCAAGAGATGTGAGATATACCGTCCCTGAGGACCCTAGAGCTGCCAAACCAGCCCTGGGGCACCCATTTCTTGACTTCTCTTACACGGAGAGAAACATCTGTATCATCTAAGTCATGGTATTTTCTTGGCTTCGACAGAAGCAGTTTTCTCTTTATGTAGAGATGGAGGCCAAGGCTTGAGGTTGCCTGTTTGATTTGGAAAACAGAATATTTTTTAAATTTTATTTTATTTTATTAATTACACTTTATTCACTTTGTGTCCCCCCATAAGCCCCTCCCTCCTCCCCTCCCGGTCCCACCCTCCCTCCCCCTTCTTCACGCATGCCCCTCCCCAAGTCCACTGATAGGGGAGGTCCTCCTCTCCTTCCTTCTGATCTTAGTCTATCAGACCACATCAGGAGTGGCTGCATTGTCATCTTCTGTGGGCTGGCAAGGCTGTTCCCCCCGCAGGGGGAGGAAAACAGAATGTTTTAACAAAGCCCGCGAACTATTGCAGACGGAATAAGCTGTCAGAAGGTGGCAGCTCTGGGGAGCGTTAGAGAAATTCACCGTATTTGGTTAGAACGGAGGTTCCGCACAGTGAGGATACAGCGCTGGGGCACAGGAGAAGGGCTAGGGCGGAAGGGCTTCCTCTTCCGGGAGAAAGCAAATGAGGCGTGACCTCTGGGTGGGGCTCAACACCGGAGTGTCCTCCTTTGGATGTCTATTCTCTCAAAGATGCTGCCAGCGGAGCGGCCTTGTGCAGAGGTGGACTGACGGGCAAGGGTCAGCCAGGCCACAGCGGCATCCATCACTCCGGCACATGGGATACAGAAGTGGGGCTGCATAATGGGCCCGGACTCAGAGAACAGGGACGGAATATGAGACGAAATAGTATGTAACTTGAAGGTGGCTTAAGCTTCTTCCTCTACAGCAGTTTCTCTATAGCAAGTGTAACACACACCGTCTTCTCTCCTCTCTGGTCTTACTCTTCGGCGTTCGTTTTCCCAGGTTAACACGAAGCCCTTTGTCCTTCCGTGGTCCCCCTGCCGCTCTTGTTCTTGTGTTGTTGCTGGGTTTGAGTCCTCACATCCAGCCCCTTCATCCTAATTCCCAGACCCCAAGATCAGGTAGATATCGAAGCCAGGCTGCAGAAGACTTAATGTCGGGTTCTTTTCTGGACTTACAGGGAAGGGGATGTTTCTTCTTTTTTGCTAGACTTGGTTTGAGAGGTAGGAACAGGAGCCTGGGGATTCTGGTACCTTTTCTGCTACCATTCAAAACAGCCTGCGGGAGCACAAAACAAAACACAGTGAAGCAAGAGAAATAAACAAGAAAAACCGATTTAGGTGCATGTGTGTGTGCGTGCATGTGTGTATGTGAGTGGGTGTGTGTGAGGGTCTGAGCGCTGGAGTGTACACATGCATGAGGAGCTCAGAGGACAATCTTGGGTGTCATCCTCCGGACTGGCATCCACCTTCTTTGAGGCAGGGTCTCTCCTCTGACTGGAGCTCACCCGTTAAGCTAGCCTGGCTTGGCCCCCGGACTGGCATCCACCTTCTTTGAGGCAGGGTCTCTCCTCTGACTGGAGCTCACCAGTTAGCCTGGCTTGGCAGCAAACCCCAGGAATCGTCCTGCCTCAGCCTCCCCAGCTCAGGGCTTAGGAGTGTGTACCCTCGTGTCTGCAGTTCTTATATGGGCTCTGGGGATTACACTGAGGCCCTCATGTTTGCAAGCAAGCAGTTTACGGAGTGAGCCCTCTCCCCGGCATAAGAGACTGATTCTGATCATATTCTGGGGTCTAGCTGAGGTCCAACTCATGTATAACCCTTGACTTTTTAGTTATTTCGGGCGGTGCATTTCCCTTTGCTGTCAGCTTTGGCATTCTTCTTTTAGCAGTTAGTCTGATCTTATTTTGCGGTAGAGAGTCAAGGGAAAGTGCTACATAAGAATACTGACCGAATCCCAGCACTCAGGAGGCAGAGGCAGGTGGATCTCTGTGAGTTCAAGGCCAGCCTGGTCTACAGAGTGAGTTCCGGGACAGCCAGGGCTGCACAGAGAAACCCTGTCTCAAAAAAACAAAAACCCAAAACAAACAAGCAAAGAAACGGTGGGGGTTGGGGGTGGTGCCTGGAGAGATGGCT